ATTGTTTTTTTGTAGAGACCGGGTCTCACTATGCCATCGAGGCTGGTCTCAAACTCCTGGACTCAAGTGATCCTCCCGCCTCAGCCTCCCACAGTGCTGGGACTATAGGTGTGAGCCACTGTGCCTGGCCTGGTTTTTCTTTCTTGTAAGCTTTGGGGTCCTCTGTTCACCCTGATCCTTACCCAGGACCCCAGCGTTTGGAAGCAGTGGATGTAGAATTCTGAGGTGGAGGCTGTGCTGGGGTATCCAGAACCCACCTGCCTGGGCAGCCCAAGACCCCCTTGGAACCTGAGTCTGGGGCGGAGGTTGGACCCTCCCTGCCCCTCAGCCCCCGCTGACCGGTATCCGGAGTGACCCCGCACAGCCAGTGGGGCCAGGAGAGTATGGGGCTTCTCCGTTTCTCAGCACAGGCAGTTTGTCACTTGTAGCCTTGAGGACGCTGCTAAGGTCACGGAGGGTCCCCGAGCCTTGACCCGGGCTTAGTGCCCTACAGTGTCCATGTGAGGCCATGGCAGCCCGGGAGGGCCTGTGTGCACCCTCACTCAGGGGCAGGACGGCGGGCTCAGGAGCTCTGAGGCAGATGTGACGTGCTGAGGGGTCCCACAGTGTGCACGTGGGGGACCCTGATCCATGGGGGGACCAGAGCCGGGATCTGCCTGGCATGTCCACCTCACGAGGCCCAGGCGGGAGGGAGAGTGGGTGCTGTTCACAGCTCGAGACCCCCACTCCGCCTGCCTGGGCCTCTTCCTCTTCTCACTGGCCCTGGGGTCTGCCATGCTGGGTTCCACAGCGGTGCCTTCAGACTGAAGTTGCTGCCCCCACAGCCGTGCGTGGGAGCCGGGACTGGCTTTCTGGTGGGCTTCACCTCACGGCTTTGGGGGTGTGTGGCTGTGGCGTGACTCTGCTCCTCCCAGCTTTGAAGTGCGAGGGGATGAGGCCGTGATGCAGCCATCTGGGGCCATTGTGGGGACGGCCAGGCATCACCAGCCATGTCACCCCACTGTCAGTGCGTCTGCAGGCTGCAGAAGGGGCCGGTCACGAGTGGCTGCTGTATGTATTTTTATTTTCCATTTTTTTTCTGTTAATAGAGGTGAAGTCTCGATATGTTGCCCAAGCTGGTCTCTCACGAGCTCAGGCGATCCTCCTGCCTTGGCCTCCCAGAGTACTGGAATTACAGGTCTGAGCCGCTGCACCTGGCAGCCGCTATCAATGCTCCAGTTTTCCAGGCTTTCTGTGTGAAGGTGCTGGAGAGATCCTCAGGCCCCTGGAGGGCTGTTGTCCACCCTGCTGCCACCCAGGCCACAGCTCTGACACCTCCAGCTCCTGGGGTGTGGACGGGATAGGGACATTTTTGGAGACACCAGGGGGAGGGGGGTTGGGGGGCGACTGGGGCCTCCCTTCCACCTCTGCTTCTGAAGTTTGGTCGGACTCCTCGTTACAGAGCTGTGGGAGCCGAGGCCAAGCAGGTGCTGGCGAGACGGGGCAGAGCTGAGACTGCGACCCAGGCCCTGTGCCCCCGGGCTGACTCCTGGGAAGTGGGTGGGACCGGTGTTAGGAAGCCACTTCCAGGCCCCCCGCCCTCCCCGTGCTGTGGGCTTGAGGAACCCTCGCACCTGGAAATGGGGGTCACCTGCCTCCTCCCACACAAAGCCCCCCTCGGGGATGCCAGCAGACACACTCCTGAGCCCTCTTGTGGGGGTCCCAGTGCCCACCAGCCTGCTCAGAGGTCAGCTCCCAGCCCCGCCTCACTGACCGTCTCAGCCACAGAAGGAACATGATCCCAAAAGGGGCAGCCTTTGGGGCCGGGCCCTCCCCCGGGGGCCCCTGGCAGCCTTCAGCTGTCTCCCCGCTGCAAGAGATGGATGGGCGCACGCGGCTTTAATGTCTGAGGTTCCCTGGGCAAAACACACTTTGCATTCCTTCGGCTGGGCGTAATTGCTGGGCAGTCAGTGTGAATTATAAATTATTTTTCAAAAGAAGTGCTTTTTTCATGGCTGGCGGAAATCTAAAATGGCCTGGGCTGGGTCATTGCGCCTGCCGCTGCCCCGGGCGTCCGGCCCGCTCTCCGCTCTCTGGGGCAGACACGCGGCACTTTTTCTGCTGCCGACGGGCCTGGGCTTGGCGTTTCCGAAAAGACCGTTGTCACTGAGGAAGCCCCGTTTGTTCAGGCACCCGCAGTGGGCGGAGAAGTGCTGTCTACGCTGTCTCGGTCTTGGGCCAAGTTCCTGAGGTTTTCTCGGACCTCCTGGGCTGTGGGCTTTTGCCACAAAGAGGGGACCTTGGGGAGGGCTTTGGCGGAAGATAGGACACCCCCAGGACTCTGAAATCGGGGCTTGCAGCCATTTTAGTGCTGCTCTGACCTGGAGCTGATGGAGAAACTGAGACGGGTATGGGGAGGGCCTGGGTTCATACCTGTACTTCCTGCATCTGCATCTGCTGTGACTTGCAAGGCCTGGGGCTGTTTTCTCCCCAAGTGCCGGCCTCTCGGGGCCCCGCCCCCACCTTGCTGGTCTCTTGGTCCCCTGGACTGGGCACGCCAGGGCCACACATTGGAGTGGCGAGGTCAGTGTCGCCGGGCCAGGTTTCCGGTCGCTGCACGGGCAGCTGTGCCAACCAGGCCCGCAGCCATGGTCAGCTCTGCGCTCTGAGCCGCGGCTCTTCTCCTCTCCTGCACATGCCTTGGACGACAGAGTCCCACCGTGCTGTGCTGATGTGTGTGTATTTCAGGGCAGAGTCCCCTTCTGGCTCCACACCCTTTACCGGGCCGGGGGTGCTCAGGGCCGTGGGAGCCGCGCTCCTCTCAGAGTGTCCCAGAGGGTGCGGGGCTGCACAGCAGAGTGCCAGAGCCACCTCTGTCTTCTGGTCTCCAGGCACCGGGGGAGGCGGGACCCGGGGACCCAGGTCGCTGACATTTCCGGTTCTCTCTGTGTGATGCTGGGCCCCTTCTCCCTGCAGCAGATTCCGTCTGAAAGCAGCCCCGTGCCATGGAACACGTCCAGAGCTGCCCCAGCTGCCCGACCCTCACAGGGCCGTGGGCTTGGTATTGGCAGCATGAAAGCAACACCCGGGGCCGCACCGTCCCGGCTCCTCTCTCTGTCCCGGGCAGCCTGGGCACATTGCATGCGCTGAGCTGTCCTTCTCCAGTCTCCTGTGAGGATGGAGAATGATGGTGTGTGGTGCCGTGCACACAGTAGGTGCTCTGTGGATGCCACTTCTGTTCTTCCAGAGCAGACAAAGTGCTGAGTGTGTGAGTGGAGGTTCAAGGTGACCTTGCTGTCTCCAGGACGGTGTGGAGCCTGGCTGTGCGAGCATCGATTCTGGAACAAGGTTGTCCCATTTCAGTTCTTGGCCTCACCGCTTGGCAGCCCAGGGGGCACAGGCAGGCCACACCGGCCCTGAGCCTCTGTTTCTTCCCTGGAGTGGAGATGATAGTAGGCCCAGCTGAAGGTGTGGATCTCGGGAGGTGCCTGTTCGCTGGGAAACATTCAGTGTAGTGAGCCGTGCTTATCATCATCACCTTCTGGGAGGAGGAGGATTCTTGGCAGTGGTGGAGGCTGCTGAGGACTAGGGCTGGATCAGCAGCTGTTTGCACGGGTGTCTAACCTCATTTCTGAGCTCAGGGACCTGACATCCCCCTGCAAGTCAATGGGAGGCAGACAAGGGCCAAGGTGGATGTGGTACCAGTGGAGCAGTGGTGAGGAATTTGGGGGGACAGAGAAGGAGCCCAGGCCAGAGACACAGGGAACAGCTGCTCATTTCAACCACTCTTGTCACGGGGAAACCGAAGACCAGACAGGACAAGACTAGTCCAAGGGTATGAAGGGTATGGGGAGTCATGGGCAGGCTGGGGTCGGAATTGCAATGTCCTGACTTTTCCCATCAGCACACTTTCGTGTACCCAGTAAGAACCACTACCACCATCATCATTGCCACCATCACCACCGTCAGCACCATCATCACCACCATCACTATCACCCCTGCCATCACTGTCATCATTGCCAGCATTACTACCATTATCACCACCATCATCACCACCATTATCACCATCACCATCACCATCAGTATCACCATCATCACCATCACTATCACCATCACCATCATCACCACCACTATCACCATCATCACCATCACTATCACCATCACCATCATCACCATCACTATCACCATCACCATCATCACCACCACTATCACCCCTGCCATCACTATCATCATTGCCAATATCACTACCATTATCACCACCATCATCACCACCATTATCACCATCACCACCACCATCACCACTGTCACTATCCTCACCAACATCACCATCATTGCTACCGTTATCACCATCACCATCCTCACTACCACCATCATTATCACCATTATCATCACCACCATCACCATCATCACTACCATTATCACCATCACCATCCTCACTACCACTATCATCGTTATCACCATCGCTGTCACCATGATCACCACCGTTATCACCATCACCATTACTGTTATCACCATCCTCACCATCACCATCCTCACCATCACTATTCTCATCACCACCATTCTCACCACCGTGAATATCACCATCACCACCACCATCACCATCCTCACCACCATCACCATCATCACTACCATTATCACCGTCACCATCCTCACTACCACCATTATCATTATCACCATCAACATCCTCAATACCATCACCATTATCACCATCAGTATCATCATAACCACCGTCACCATCATTATCACCACCATCAGCACCATCATCGTCACTGTCACCACCATCATCACCACTGTTACCATCACTATCCATCACTACTGCTGTCCTCATCACCATCACCATCATCACCATCACCACCACCATCGTCGTCACCACTGTGGCTGTCCTCACCACCATCACCACCATAACCATTAGCAGCAACATAACATTTGTTGAGACTCAGTTCTCATCATGACCCAGCAAGGCAGGGATTTTTATGGTCTCATTTCACCAGGGCACAGTGATGCAGGTGACACATTCAGACCTGAACTTGTCCACGTTGAGTGAACTTCCCACGGTGTCCTCCATGCTGAGGCTCTGGAAAGCAGGGGAGGATGGGTGTCCTTAGGGTCCTCATCCCCATCATGGAAGTTGGTCTCAAGCCACACCTTTGCTGGGCTCAGTCATCTGATCTGTGAGTGGGAAGCTTGGCGCAGCTCCACGAGTCTGTTTCTGGACATTGACGGAGGCTTGGGAGTGAGTGGGGAGGGCCACGCTACCGGAAATGGCCTGTGCCCATGGGAAAGGTCAGCCTCGCCGCCAGGGTCCAGAATAAGCAACTGGAAAAAACCTGGCCTGAGCCCCACACAAGTCACCGCTGTGCCTCGGGGACTTGTGTACCATTCCTCCCCCATTTCACTGGAGCTTGCATTTTTGTCATAGTTTTCCAGGGACAGGCATTTAGCATCACGTGCCTTTCCTCCACCCCTTCCCCCTTGAGCTGTTTTCCTTCCGCAGCAATCCGTCTCCCTTCCTTCATTCCCTGCTCCACTCCTGCAGGGCCTCCTGCCCCAGTAACTGGAGTCCCGCTCCATCCTAGCCAGGAGGGCTGCACAGGAGGGCTGCGGGCTGCCTCCCCTATGCTCACTGTGTCCCCAGGGCTGCTCTTCCTCACCCCCAACTGTGGAAGGGGCTCTGTGGTGGCCCCTCATTTTCCCATGTGATGGAGCCACTTTCGGTGTGCCCAAGGGGTCCCATTTTAAGGGAGACACAAGCAAGTTTGCATCTGGCTGTGGGTGGCATCAAGAGAAGGGAGAGGGGGCCGTGGGTAGGCGCAGGCCCTGGAGACGGGGCTAGGGCAGACCCCCACTTCACCACGGCAGTGGGTAACTTCAGACGCACTCCTCCGAAGCACTCACCTCCGCGTTCTCCTCCTCCTTGGCCCTCTGAGTTGTGACAATGTGATGGGCACAGCCCTGAGCACAGCCCCTGCCCCTGTCCAGGGCGCTCAGTAAACACCAAGTGGTGTTTGATTGCAATTTCTGTTCCTGTGAGTGATTGGAGTGGATGGGAAGACAGTTTGAACAGCACCCCTCAGGAGAAGAAAGTTTGGGGAGACTGACAGGCGTTTGGGGGGCTCTTCTGAGTGTCAGGGGTCTTGCTTCTCATGTCCGGCCCATCTCTCTTTCCTGACATCTCCTTCCTACGTACGTTGTTTAGGAGGTGGGATAAATGACCCTCATTCACCATTGTCCCCAGGCATCGTGGCAGCTGGGAGGGTCCCTGGCAGCCGCCTGCAGGGCTCAGAAGAGTTTATAGTTTTCTATCCTAACCTAGGTTTCCTAGCCTATCCTAACCCTTAGGATTAAATTTTGCTGGATGTATTAGTTAGCTGTGGCTGCGTAACAAATTCCCTGGATGTATCAGTTAGCTGTGGCTGCGTAACAAATTCCCCTCAAACTTAGTGACCTCTGTCAACAATGTTACATTTGTTCCATTTCCCGTGGGTCATGGAGGAAGCAGCTGCACGGCTCTGGCCTGGAACCCTCCTCGGGCTGTGGGGATCAGAAGGTCTTATGGGGCAGAGGAGATGTCTGTGGCGGCTTCCCCCCACAGGGCTGGAGGGTGGCTGGAAGGCGCTGCTCCTCCTCTGAGCTTCGCTGCAGCCGAGCGATCCCGGAGAGAGCAGGGCAGGAGCTGCAGTATCTTTTACAACCTGGCTTTGCAAATCTCAGACTCATTTCCTTAGCATTCTCTAGTTGCCTCCATCAGCCGTATTCATCATGGTGCAGACCACACAGGGTGTGGACACCCGGAGGCGAGTGAGGATCATTGGGGGCCGGCTGCTGCCGTGCCAGGTGTAACAGAAATACTCAAAATAACAGTGTCTTAAACCACAACGGCTGTTTCTCACGCTCTGGAAGGAGTCCGTCTAGGGCCGGTGCGTTGTTCTGTGGGGTCCGGGGAACCAGCTTTCTCTTACTGATGCTCCTCAGGGGCCCTGGATGGCTGCTGCAGCCCCAGCCATCATCTCCATGTGCCAGACAGCAAGAAGGAGGAGAGGGGAGGGACGTGTTCAGAAACTGCACATGCCACTGTGTCTGTGTGCCCGTGGTCAGCACGTGGTCAGTTGCACAGGTGGGAGGCACCTGGTAAACACTGCTCACTGCGGTTTTCTGTCTCAGGGTGTTATGGGAATTCATGAAACAGCATGTCAGGAAGGAGTAAAATACATCTCCGTTTGACAAATGGAGAGGTGGGGCAGCTTTGGGGCTTTTAGAGCCCGCTCTAGGCTTTCCTTCTTGGTTCTGTGGTTCCTGTCTAGGGTGGTCACTCAGCCCTGCGGAGCCTCAGTTTCTGCCTCTGGAAAATAAGGATAAAAGTATGTTCCCCTCACAGGGTTATCTGTTGCGAGTTCAATGTGGGTCAGCGTGTCCAAGAGCCCCCCTCCCCAGCCTGGAGTAGGCGTTCAACACAGCAGGTTCCCTCCTCTCTCCTCTCTCCACACCCCAGGGGACTTATCCAGGGTTATGGAAAAACCTCGTCACCAGCATGTCGTCTCTTGGTCCAACTCACATCGCGGCATACACCCTACTCGAACACGTGGCCTCTGTCGATGGATGATACCATTTGAATTTCAGCAGAATCGGGCTTGCTGCTGTCTGGGCGGACTGTGTGTCTCTGTTTTCTGAATGTGCAGTGCTCAGTCATGCCCACCATGTGGCTGCTCTGTACAGTTGTGGAGTTCGTGCACTGTACAAAGGCCCAGGCAGACGGCTGAGAGGGGCTGAGACCCAGGCTGCTTTCTGCGCACCAGGCTGGAGCCGACTGCTTGGAGCAGGGGCCTCATTCCTGTCTGCACCGGGGCCCGTCAGCTTTGCTGGGATGTGTGCTTGAAGAAAGGGTGTGTTTTTCTAATTCACATTTATAATCCTAGTTTCTGGAATGAATTCTAATTTCTAATTCACATAACATGGACAGGGCCCTGTGTGTTGGTATTATATTATTCAGCATGCTTTTCCCAGGGGTGAGGGAAGTCAAGCTTCAATGGGTAAGGATGCAGCTTCAGGCATGGCTGGATCCAGGGTCTCAGCTGATGTCAGCAGCACTCTCCCTTCTGCATCATGTGCTTGAGTGTCTGTGTTGGCCTCAGTTTCTCCAGATGTGTTTATGAGCTCCCTCCCCTTTATGGCTAGAAACCCGGGTTCAGGCTCTGACTGGCTGTGTGCTCACTGCGTGGACCTACCACTGGCCCTGGCTGGGTGGGGAACTCTGCTGCCGGCCAGGACACTTAGCAGCCATGATGGGAGCTTTTCCAGAAGCCCCTCAGGAGGAGGGAGGTGGGGTGCATAGGACACCATGGCAGCTCACACAGCCTTCGGGTCATTGAGGACTTTCGGGACTTGGAATGCTTAGAGGGTCTCCTTAGAAGTTGAGAGTCATTTGGGGAAATCTGGAAACGTCAGGTTGATCCAGGCACAAAGATTCACGTTCTTGTCTGTTTTTCCTTTCTCCCGAACAGGGCAGCACGTTGAGGAAACGCAAGATGTACGAGGAGTTCCTCAGCAAGGTCTCCATCCTAGGTCAGTGGCTGCGCCCCTGTCCAGCTGTGTGTCCCGACATCCGGGTGCCTGCTGGCAACCCCAGCCTCTTCCCCATTCCGAGTGGCTGGCAAGTTGAGTGTTGTTGGTGTTATGGAAGTTTGGGGCGCAGCACACAGACATGCCCACACACATACACGTGCACACATGACACGCACTGTCACTTGCTGGCAAACCCCAAAAGCCCGCCTCCTCTCCCGTGGGCAGGGCTGCCCTGCTTCTCAGCGTCTCTGCCATTCTGTGCATTTCCTGTCTGCTTCTCCCTTTGCTGTCAGAGCCGCGCCCCCAGCCTTCCCTCCACGCCGGTCCGTGTAGAGCTGAAAGCCGGTGTTGGCTCCCGGTACACGTGCGAGCTAGGTGGAGCTGCTTTCCCTGACTCTGCTGGTTCCCTTCTAAGCGCGGTTTCTCTGGGAGCTGTCTCTGCCCTTTCTAGGCCACCATCATCGCTCTCAGTTCCGGGAAGGATAACAGGGCAGGCTGGTGATTCAGGTGCGCCTGGAGCCTTTTCACCTTTGGTGAACCTGCTCAACGGCCTGGCGGGGAAGACGCTGCTGCAACCTGAGTTATACGCGATGGCACCGGCCAGGCCAGTGGGGGCTCCTTGGGCTAGAGCAGGCAGAACCGTGCACATGTGTGTGAGTGTGCGCATGGGCGGTGTGTGTGCGTGTGTGCATGTGTGTGCGTGTGTGCATGTGTGAGGGGGTGTGTGCATGTGTGTGCTCATGAGTGTGCATATGTGGGTGCATGAGTGTGTGCAAGTGTGCACAGGTGTGTGTGCGTGTGGGGGTGTGTGTAGAATGTGTGTGTGGGTGTGAGTGAATGGGTGTGTGTGCATGTGGGGGGTGTGTGTGCGTGTGTAGAATGTGAGTGGGTGTGTGTGCACATGTGTGCATGTGTGTGTGCATGAGTGCATGTAGAATGTGCATGTGTGCATGTGTGTGGGGGTGTGAGTGCATGGGTGTGTGTGCGTGTCGTGTGTGTAGAATGTGTGTGAATGGGTGTGTGTGCACGTGTGTGCATGATTGCACATAGAATGTGTGCGTGTGCGTGTGTGTGGGGAGTGTGAGTGCAGGGGTGTGTCAGTGTGTGCATGTAGAATGTAAGTGTGTGAGAGGGTGTGAGTGCGTGTGTGGGTGTGTCTGTGTGCATGTGTGTGTGCACACCTGCGTGTGCATGGGTGTGAGTGTGCACGTGTGTAGGTGTGTCTGTGTGCATGTGCACACACACGTGTGTGTGCGTGGGTGTGAGTGTGCACGTGTGTGTGCGTGGGTGTGAGTGTGCCTGTGTGCACGTATATGTGTGCAGTATGGCTGTGCCTGAGTTTCTTGGGGAGGACTTTGACCCTGTTCTCTCTGAAATCCTTCTGCGGAATGTCGAGAAGGGAGTGTGAGGTTCTTTCGATTGTGGTAAAATGCAGGTCACATCAAGCCGAACATTTTGACCTTTCCTGGAAGCACGTTTCAGGGCCGTCGAGTCCACACATGACGTCGTCGGCCCCGCTCCCATCCCAGAGCCCCATCCTCACCCGAGGCAGAGCCCCATCCCTGTGAGCCGTCACCCCCGCCTGCCCTCCCAGCCCCAGTGGCCTCCGGATGCTCCCCATCTCTGTGGGTTATTTGCCTGTTTGG